TGGATGCGGAATTTTTTCCAGGGTGCTGAAAATGGGTTTTTTGAGATGCTAGTTTTAATCACGAAGAAAAACTACATCAGACTTGTGAATATGAGCTTGATCTGAGAGGGGGCCGATTTTGCGTCGTATCGACCCCCGTCCTTTATCAAAAAAAGTTGCTATAATTGTATTCTTGTTTGAATGCTAGTTATGAGCCGAATGAAAACTACGCCATCCTTTGAAATTTGATATTATTACAAAGTTAGATGCGACTTTTTAATATGTTAATTAATTACTTTTTCTTTGTAGTATTTCTTTATTTATTCCAAATGTTTCGATTGATACTTCAATCTTCTTCAGTATATAACAAACATTAATTGAATTGATTAAAATTATATTAACAAAAGAAAACGAATTGAACAGACAACTTTTTTCTTTTTCATAAACTATTAAAACTGGTTTTAATAGTTAATTAATATATTAGAAAGCTACGCCATTGCTGTGATACATAGCGTATTCTAACTATTTTTTACTGGTTAAGATACGCTACGCACATAGAGTTAAGAACCACATGATTTCACGCTGACATTAGTGTTTTGCGCGTTGCGTATTAGAAAGTGAATTTTAACACAACTAGAAGTGAGACAATTTGACAGTGTGAAATGAAAGCGTTTGCCTCAACCGAGAATCGAAGCCAGGATCCTCTGGTAACCGGTGAGCAACTCTAACTACTAAGAAACGGAAGCACCATCTAACATACACCATCAGTTCACACGAATGATTTAACTAACAGAGTGTCGAGGTCAAACCAAGGCATCCATAAATCTGTATTACAGCGTGAAATTTCAAAATTTGGCAGCGATTGTGGCGTTTAGGGATGCCTTGACTTGCCCGAGTCTCGAATAGTGACGGATAGCACGATCTCTCGTACTATGAGTACTAGTACTGCTGACCTCATTACAAGAGTATATAACTGTTAAACTTCTCGAGAATCTGTTATGCCAGTCATTTAGCCGCTTAACCCTTTCCAGCCTGATGTTGCATTTGGCAGCACTTTTTGCTGTGTTTTCAATACAGCCGGCTGGAAAGGGTTAATTAGTATAAACAGATGAATGATGTAATGATATGAAATTAGAAAGTGAATTTCATAATTGCGTATATTAGCCGATCACTGAAATCACTTTAACATTCATCTAAATTCCACAAACCTTGGTTATCGCAGTCTATTTAATATATATTTTTTAAATTAAAATTGAGAATCTCATGTTTAAAAAAGGTGGAAATGCGAGCTTAATTTTTCCAAATGCGTTTAAGCAATTTGTTTCTTACAAAGAAAATTTTCAAATATAGAAAAAGAGGGAGCACGTGAATGGCGTCATTTTGTTTTATTAAAAATATATATATATAAAAAGAGAAACCATTGTCGTCGTTGATTGGTCCGTTTGTTACTGTTGTCCAAGGTTAACCGAATAGCATTTATAAACCATGAATCGGTGGTGCGTTGATCGAAATAACTTAGATTCCAATAGACCGTACTGTTCAGTCTGTCTTGACTGTTGTGATGCGCCCAAAATAAAAGTGAGGAGCAAGACTCCATAATTATGCATTTTTTGAATCTTTTACGTTGATTGTAACGATTTGCGCCACTTGCTGGCTATTGACGTATCACAACTTGCTAGAGCATCGAAACCAATAAGAATTCCATGTCTTAAAGAAAGAAAGAATGCACTAAAAAATCCTATTCTGATTAAAAGTTTTTCATGCAGTATTATTAGCTGAATTTGTGCGTTTAAATGAACATGAAAAAAATTTGCACGTTTTAAAATGAAGAAGAACGAGCGATTTATTATACAATTGACAATGTCAAAACAAGTTATTTTACCCTTTAATTAAGTTTGGCAAATACGTTTTTCTTCAATATGTTGATGTCTACGATACTTGTCTTCAATACAGTTTTGTGACTTAGATTTCTGTATCGCGGTTTTTTGAAATCATTAAATGCCGCTATTTACTTGTGACTATGAAAAAGAGATCAACGGATAGCTGATCTTTCATCGTGTCTTAACGTTGAAGATCATTACCTCCTAAAATATTTTCTGCAATAGAATGTCCTATTCCGTAAGATGGAACGTTAAATGGAAATATTCAGTTCAGGATCCTATCAGCGAATTCACATAACGGATATATTTAGTATTCAAGTATAGTACTGAAGAATGTGATACTATAATACGTTGTAGTTGATAATCTGTTATTTTTTATTGAAACACCTCAGCGAAACTTTTGTCTGCGATGATGTCTGAAATAATACTTTTAGAAGGAGGTAAGAGTTTACGAAGATCTTAATCCTGAGTTACTCAAATAATTCTTACGAATTTAATAAACTACTGTAATTTGACAAATTTTCTTTCTTTGATCTGAGGGCTACGTGTTTTTTCAATCTTTATATTACCCAACGTATGGTGAAAGAATACTTCAGTACGTATCTGTATTTCTTTTTTTTAGATAGTTGATGGTAATGGCATCCGTTTCGCATTGGCTAGACACCTTTCTTTGTAAGCAATATGCTGAAAGATTTGAACGTTCGGGATATATGAATTTGCAATCTGTAAGTTGTCTGCATCTTTTGTGTCAAAAACAAAATAAATTACGTTTGAGTTGACGTAGGTTTGTCAACTGACTGTAGAGCAGCTTCAATCAATGGGTGTATCTTCAGGTGACATACATAATATTATGGACAATATTTTACTTTTGAAACAAAGTCAGAAAAGTAAGTATACGAAATACTGTGAGGCAAGAAAAGATTTTCTGGTATATCTTTACGTCTCTAGGTTTGAATATACAACATTCATTTGACTTAACAACAGAACCACCCGCTGTATTATCCTCAACATCCACTGCCACTCCACAAACAGGTAGGGCTTATGAAAGGATTTATTATTGGTCAGCAGGAGCTTTTGCCTGTTTTGTAAAACTCCTCTTCAGAACTCCATAGTAGAGAGGAGTTGAAGTTATATACTCGAATTCCAGTTGTTTTCAGTGGTTTTATAAACCCTCCCATCGTCCCCAGTAGGCCTAGTATTCATCTTATAGTATTATTCATTCTATAATAGTTAATAAGATGAGTATTAGTAGTATTCATCTTATAATAGTTAATATCAATATTCATTTAGTTGTAAATTATAACTAAAATGAAAATGTTATTAGCAGCCGAATAGTCAAGATTACAAAATAAATCAGAGTTGAGTTATTACGCCAAAAAATAAAGATTAATTTATTTTTTATGCGGTATACTCACTTAAACTACGAAGTGAAGGATATAGAAGTTTCACAATTTTAACTCCGATAGGAGGTGCCTGAGAAGGTTTTTTTCCACATGTTCAACATTTCAACAAAAGTGTGCTACTTATTTTCGAAGTGTCTAAGGAGAATCTCGAAATCAAATCATAGTTGCTTAGACAGTTTGACATCACCGAGCGGGCATTAAGAGAGTTAACGCTGTTCCGCTTTCTTTTTCATTTCCTTCTTTTAGATGTTTTTCCACCAAGCCCTGTGATAAATGCGTTAAATCGTAGTTCAAGTCAAAGTGCAGCTTATTCACCAAGAATAACAATCCATACTCCACCGTTGAGTGCCGGCCCATCTCCTGAACGTTCATCATTTGGTGAAACTTCAACGTATCCTCGATCAAATTCCTACAACAATAACAACAATAGCAATACATTTTTTGATATCACTCCATCTTCTTCATCTCCACATCGTTCAGCATCACTTGATAATTCTACACCGGAGACATCATATAATGATTTTCTAATACAACAACAACAACAACAACAACAGCAACAACAACTACAACAACAACAGCAACAATATCCATCCCCTCCAATGATGGTGAGACACCACAATAATGGTGGTCAAGGTAGAATGTATTACTCAGATCAACCACAATTTCGTCAAATGTACATGCAACATCCGTCGTGGCATCGACAACCACACCCTCACATGTACTATCACCATCATCCTTACGAAACGCAGCAACATCATCCATTTCATCAACATCATCAGCATCACAGATTGCCCCCGCCACCACCACCTCAATTTCATATGTCAGATCAACAACAGTACATGTCGTCACAGCAACAATCTCCACAATCAAATAAATCTTTATCGGAAACCAATCCGTTGCAATCCTTAGAACGTCTTGTACTTTTACCAGAATCACAAGTTATTGATCCTAAGAGGTAATAAAATAATTTGTTTTAGTCATAAATACTTTGCTTCTTCAAGGTATTTTAATTGAGATAAGACTGCCAACTCATTAAAAAGAGGAAAAAACAACATTTTGAAGTCACCATTTTTTCTTCATCGTTTTAGCGTTGTGAATGAAATTCATGATCCGCCTTCTCCGTTCAGCGAATCATTGTCACCTTATTCTTCTCTATCACCAAATCCAAAAAGAGCCACTACCACACCTCCAACAGCAACCACAAACTTGTTAACTAACGAAAAAACAATTACAGATCAGCATCCAAAAACAAAACGATCAACTCATGTTTCGTCGGGGCACGATGATAGAGATAATCAGTCTAAAAAGAGTCGAATAGTTGATTCATTATCGGTTGATCAAGTTAATTCGCATACTCATCCGGTTGTCACAAGTCTATTGACAAGAGGAATTAATCAACAGCAACAACAACAACAACAACAACACACATTACCGTCAATCAAATCTCTTCAACAAAAAAATTTTCAGCAATCTCCATATGGACAACAGCAGCAGCAGCAGCAGATGATGTATCAACAACAACAGCAATTTGATCAACCAAGACCATACGATTTCGTCGATGGATCGAATGACTATTTAGAAAAGAATTGTTTTTCCAGTGACAGCGAATATATAGAACAAGATTATACACAACTATTTACAAAATTACGTTCAACTATTAATGATTATCTTAGCAGAAATAGATCATCGTAAGTATTTGCTTAAAGTTTAGATGTGTAGAAGAGAGTCGGCTTTTCAATTCTTTGAGAGGTATACGAGAATAATTCGATGACACGATAAACTGTTCTGACAATTTTTGGAACAAAAAACTTTTTATTTTTTTCAAGACTTCAACAGTTCAGAATATATCTACTGTCGCGTTGGATAACCTTGTTGTTTCTGGCATACCTCCAGTCGATTTTGAATCGAAACCAACGAGTGTTTCGGTTATATCAGCACTAGTAGAGTGTTTCGTCCTTCTTTGAGGCGTTCTCAATGAATTGCTCCCATCTTTTGAAGAAAATGTAATCAAAGATCGGGGCTTAGGTGACAGCCAAATTAATATAATTTCGCGCATATACTAATTCAAAGAACATTCTGTAAGACATGCAAAAAGTTGCCATTTATATTTGAAAGGAGTGTATTCTACTCAGTTTGGTATGCTCAAAAAGTTCTTAGTCTTTCCCAAGATATTTCATTTTTCCAAAAACTGGATACTTGGCAGTTAGAGTCGACTTTTCATGACCAAGACTACATGCTTTAAACAAATTTTGCCAGAACAAGTTTCCAGTTATCGAACTCTATCACCCGCATCCTTTCAGATTTTTTATTGAGCGAGAAAAATATTCTTCGAGACAAATATTCTTTGGTGTACGGAAAATTTTGGCCCACCGAAAACTCAAATTTTCAGTTTTGTTTCACAAAACTAAACTACTTAGAATTTCAAACTAATTTTTTTTACATAGACATACTAGACGGGTATTTGTAAACTACGCCATCACCCACCAACACTCCCAAACTGCCCCAGACCATTCTAGATCGATAGAGCGCGTCAGATAACCCTACACCAACATCCACTTGGACCTATACCTGAAGTACCCTGAAAGAAATACTTCCACCAACACCCAGATGAACGCGTATTTGCATCTGCTGATCATCTCCACATTATTCAGGACGCTGAGTAACCTATAGAAACCCACGTACATCACGTATCCTGTTCCTCACCCCCACCCTCACCTCACTCGAATCTTTTCATGGGTGGGTAGCGAATGAAGATTTCATCAGGCAGGGGTGGGTGATCCTTGAAATCTTCCTTCGTTATCCACTAAATGAATAATGTGGAGATGATCGGCAGATGCAAATACGCGTCCATCTGGGTGTTGTGGCTGTTGGTGGGTGTTGGTAGAAGTATTTCTTTCAGGGTACTTCAGGTGTAGGTCCAAGTGGGTGTTGGTGTAGGATTATCTGACGCGCTCTATCGATCTAGAATGGTTTGGGACAATTTGGGGGTGTTGGTGGGTGATGCGTAGTTTACAAATATCCCATACTAGACACCGAGGAATAGTTTAGTGGAACGTCCATGCCGAAATACTGCTTCCTTAAAAAGTTACGATTTATTTACTCAGAAACTACATGGTGTACGAAGAATTTGGGGTGGTGTGTAAAGATGGACTTTCAAAGTTTTCTTCTCCACTCTGTTAGCGTAGAATTGTTTAACGATCTGACTTGGGTATGCTGCATACATCTAATAGAATACTACAATCAGATCTTTTTTATACTAGAATGATTGTTAATTTACTTTTAGTAGTATGACCGCAGTAATTCCATCTCAGTTAGATGGATTATCTGATACGTCAACGATTTCATGGAGTAGAACCTTAAGAACAAGACATGTCGAATCAGATACATCATCGAAAACTGGTAATACGAATCATAACCATCATAGTCCATTGATGTCACCCAGCAATAATTCAGGCACGACTGATCCGAAACCAAAATTAATTACTTCATTGAGTGTGCCACCTATAGTTCGCAGTGATGCGAATGATGACATTGATTCAAGTACTACTCGAATTCGACCAAAGCGTAATTCTTTTAGTGTTACGGACGAGTCACATTTGAATAGTACAAATAATAATAATCTCAGTAGCAATACAAACAATCATCATGCTCCAAAACGGCGTTATTCATCTACAACAACAAAAAATAATGGAATTTCAACAACATCGGCGATTGAAGAGAAGAAGGTGGCATTCACGGTATGTTTAATTTGTACACAGAAGTTTATAAAACGTTTCAAAGTACATCTTTGGAGTAGTAGAGAAATAATTAGGATATATTTTAATTAAAACAAAAGAACATATAAAAAGTGCTGAAAAATGTTAATTAGATAAACACTCTGTTTTCCTGTTTTAGACTACTGTTCTCAATAAACCAAGTATAATAGTCACACCAGAAAATGATAATTATGTCTCATTATCGTCAACTTCTCCGTCATCTACAAACGAAGAAAAATCAGTAACCCACATTAGCGACAACAAATCACGACCTATTACAACGGCAGAAATGATTTATGAAGACATATCGCCTGAAATGTCTTGTTCAGAATTTCCACCTAGCGATCAAGTCATGGAAGAAATACCGGTAATAAATCATAATAAAACTACAACATCCGATGACCTCGTATTACCCCTTGTGGATACAACAGCGTCAACAAAACCTGTTCGTGAGGCTAAGAAACGTTCACTAATTTATAATGGAAATACATTACAAGCATTAACAACAATGGTTTCGGCTGGACTTATTTCTGCTAATGAAGATGATGAAGATTTTGAATATGTACCACCATCACGGTCCAGATTAGAAACGCAATCAAGTGGTACTTCCTCAACTGAGCCTGTTAATCATGATGAAGACGATGACAGCTCATCTGAAGATGATGAAGAAAGTAGCGACGAAAATGAAGGAGAAAATGATGACGAAGATGAAGTAGGGGAAGTAACTGGTGAATTACAATATGAAGAACAAATAGAGCCAACTGATGAAAGTGAAATTAATTGGAATGTTCGAAATCGTCCATCACGTCAAACACATTCGATACGCTTTGATGCTATACCGAAACAAGATGAGCAAACATTTTTTGTTACTTTGGAGGCAAAAGCACCACAATTAGCTTTGTATTTAAACGATGAATCAGATGAGGAAATAGAATGGAGACCAGATGAAACAAACAAACAAAATACTAACGATAATATACTATCCATAAATGAACAAGACGAGGAAAAAAAAGATGTGGCTAAAAAACCTACAAAATCAAAGCGTCGACGACTTTCACCTGAAAATGAAGTTGAAAATGAAGCAACAGAAATATTAAAGAAATTTCGTCATGTTGAAAAGAAAAAAAGTACAACGAAAATATCGACAAAAAATAGAGCTGATGAACTGTTTGTGGTTAATTCTACAACAAAACGATGTATCATCTCGGGTGTAAATATTGATAAAACACCGACAACAAAATTATCATTAACAACATCAAATACAGGGACATTTCATTTTCAACGACAACCAAAATTGAATCCAGTAGAGGATACAAAATCACAATGGAAATGTATTCTATGTTGGAAAAATTCATTCGAAGATTATCTTGGACCACTGTATGGACCCTATAAACTAGACGACCAATGTAAAGCATTTTTATCTGATTGTAAGTTTGTAATTAAATTGTTTTAGTTTTGAAAAAGTGAAAATATTTCTTTGTTTCATCTTAGCTAAAGGATTAGCAAAACATTACCGTTCATTAGTTGAAGTATGGTTTCACCGTGATTGTGCAATATGGAATAATCATCTACATATGCATCATCATACAGGAGATTTGGTTAATGTATCCGAAGCTGTTATTACGTACCTTCCTATTGTAAGTTATTATATCATCATGTTAATTTTATTGAAATTATGTCTTGTCATTTTGTTTTAGTCATGTTCAACATGTCATTTACCTGGTGCTGCGCTCACATGTCGCCAGAGGCATTGTAAAGCAAGATATCACTATTCATGTGCTAGAGCAACAGGTAGTACAAGTATAAATTAAAGTAAAATAAATATATATCAAAATATATCTTTATTTCGTAGAAAATTGTCAATTGATCGAAGAGAACTATTCTGTTTATTGTCCAAAACATCAGGTAAATACATACGATAAACATTAAGTAAATTATTACTAAAACGAGCCAAGTTTCAAAATTAGGTGACTATAATAGGATTATAACTTTAAAATTTCCTCAACTGAAATATTCTGCTATTGAAAATTGATCTTGTAGATAGATGTTTGAAAGATATTAGATAGACTTGACTTAGATTATTCAATATTGATTTAGAGTATCGTACTCTGTCTATCTTTATCATTTTTTTACTGTAGCACAATGCAACAAAACCAAAATCTACTACTGGTCGTCCTAAACATTCAATACCATCAATATCAGAGGCTACACTACTAGAGGACTAATCGATAAAATATATCGTGATGATGATTGACTCATATAGTTTTTTTTTTCAACATTCTCGCATTTGTTCGTTTATTTCATTCTTTCTTAATACTTCATGTGTATTTCTGTAATTGTTTTTGTTTTTCTTTTGTGTAGATGCGATAATCAAAATCGTATCATTAATAAAATTGCGTTTTTTTTTTATAGTGCATACCACTGTTGTTGTTCTTTCTTTTTAAAGCGTAGTCTGACAATATTCGTAACTCTCTGTTTACACAATTCTGTTTATATGTGCTTGCTTGTCTGTTGTAGAAATCTTTGTTTTCCAATCTTCTTCTCTGTTTTTTTTTGTCCGTGGTGTGTAATTTCTCTTATGATGTTATTAGTGTTGTTGTTCTCGTTTTCTATTGATATTTCTTTCCGGATTAGAACGAAAATATGTTCATTTATGTTGTCATTCATATACTAAATTTATACACATCTGCCTGCTTTTCAACAATGAACTTTCAAATACGTATAACGATCTTTGAAATCCGTTGTGCGAATTTTTCATATATAGAATAAAAATCTTGAAATAAGAACTCAAACTTCTGTTTTAATCAAAAGTTACATAGCAGTAGTTCTCATTATTGTGAAATTATACACTGATCATATGTATATAAGATGCACATAAAGCAAACTTCGAGTGAAATTTTTTTTTTGTGCTTTATTATACATATTCTGAATCGCCAGGTCGAGCTGATCACGAATATCACCTTCCCAGCTCGAAAAAGTGAAATTTTGATGGAGAAAAATGC